TTACTAATGGCGAGAAAATCATCATCGAACACTTAGCGTAAACATTGTGTTAATATGCAGCAGTGCAACATCACGTCGCCAGACTGGACCATCGATCGAATGCATTTGGTCTGCATCGTGGAAAGAGGAACGGATTTTGCAACACTCACAATTTTTCCTTGGCCCCTCTGGATACCCTTTGGGAACAGTCAGTGATTCGAACTTGGATACCATTCTTTACGAATCCGAACGATATTAATATCGTATGGCAATGGCAATACATGAGGAACGCGTAAACAACGGGATACACCCCTTACTCTGTGCTGCAATATGCTAATACCCGCCCATCCAAAATGCCATGCAGCTGTAACATATTTATGAAAATGTGTGAGAAATGGAAAGGAATGTTTTATTCACTGTAAACAAATTTGCACGCCTCCGTGCACGTTTCATTGTGATGAAAGTTGCATTGTGATTGATAGTTCGTATTAAGTTTACGCTAAAAATTCATTGTTCAACGGGTAAACTGTGGTCTGGTACCAAATAAAATATGTTGTAGTTGATTCTGGTTCCATTTTTTTTTTTAAATTTGGAATTCAAAACCTTTTAATTTTTCCACAAGAACTGTTGAAACCTTACTCGCGACGTTTTGTACAACCCCTTTTTGACGTAGGGGTACACTTTGTGAAAACCGAAAATGGAACACGTAACGAAATTATGAAAGATTTTGAACGTTAATAACTCAGCTCCACCTGGACTAATTTCAATAATTTTATCACCAATTGATCAGAAATATTTTAGCAATGCTTCCGACTTTTGATTTTCCTAGAAACTATTGAAAAAGTGGTCAATGTCAAACACTGTTCAAAAACGTCGAAGTAACTAACAAATCCACCAATTACGTACATCCATACGCTGCTTCCCCAACACAGTCATCAGAGTGTTGTTAGTAGATGAATTAAGTCGAAGTGGCATTGCCTCCGATCTTCGGGCGTGTGCGAATAGAGAGGATGCAATTGCGTAACATTTTGCACACTCATCGCCATATTTAGAATCACACGCCCCCAACGACCACACAAAATGCTCTCCAGAGTTGTAATCTTATAACCAAACTTGGAAGCGGTGGTGCAAGTGATTTTGATCGATGCTTTTCATCGACTTTCTATTTCGTTAATAACTAGACGGCAAACACATTCATAGATACGTTTGTTGTTCTGGATGATAGAAGAGCATAGCAGAAATAGTGCGAAATATGTTAGTGAAGCCATGGCCATCAAAAGAGGAAATCGATTAAGAGAATTGACTTTCACCCCTCTGCTTCTAAGCCCCTTAATTCAGTCGTCATTAAAGCAATGAAAACTAGCATTGCACCGCTTTTGGTTCTTGAGTTACATTTTCTGGTTGCAATTCTACTGTTCGACATTTTCGACGGACCACCAAAAACATGAAATTACACTATTTTCTAGAGGTGCCTAAAAGTCCAATTATTCGATTAACGATTAATCGTAAAGATTTTTCCAGCTATTCGATTAAATATTTATCGAATTTTCAATTATTCGAGCGTGTAACCGACATCCCTTCTTATTTCTACTCGTTTGATTAACCGTCTTTTTGTTACAGGCTAAGATTTACCAACTTGTTGAGAGAAGGAGTTTAACGAGAAAAACTATAAAGGGGAGGAGCTTTAGCTGGGTAGACACTGGTATTCTGCGGCCTTCCAACCTTTCGCAGACACCAGTTCAACCCCTGCCCAGCAGCAGACGGGCCGAGACTCTTGCGAGTGCCCAACCGTTGAACCGAAGAATATGGGATTGTCCAGTCCGACTAGCCTTAGGCTAGTTCATCTCTAAAAAAAGATCACTTGAAAGTAATGAAAACCGTTTACTTCAATCTGTAGTGTGATAAATAAAATAGAATGTCGGTTTATTATTGTACACAAATTACAGCAGTATGCTGCAGCATGGCAAGTGAAAAATATCTAATGTCAAAACAGTTAACAGTGGAAGTTAAATTGCAATTTTTGTCAAAATTTCAAAGTTGCATAAAATGAAAAAAAGTAGTCTTCGGCATAATGTTCCTTATACTGTTCTAGACATTTCGTTCAAACATAGTATTCGCGTAGATTTCATAGATTGAGAGATACAAATCAGAAAAGAGGCCGTTATAGCTCAAATTTGCAAGACAACAGAGCCAATAAAAGTTTCAATTAGATTGATAGAACATAGTTGCATTGCTTTTCAATGACGACCGATGACTGTTTGATTGATAGATGATTTTTTTTTAGAAATATGAATCCTCAGTAGACGTGTTTTTTTTTATCAAAGACAAGTGTCACTCGAGCCATTCAACCAGCTCCCACACCTGGACCCTACTTATCGACCTATCAGCTCATATACCGGGGACCAACGGCTTTACATCCCCTCGGCGCCAAGAAACTGATTTGGCACAAACCATTTGAATTATATGGGATAACCAAATGTTTTGTTCATATTTATCTAACAATTAACCATATCGCTCTGGGTTAAAAAATGATAGCGGTGCTTGTAAAAGATTTTCTCAACTACTACTTTGTTGAAGACCACTTTTCGATTAAATTAAAGGAACAAAAGTTATTAATGATTCAAGTCACTGATGTCTTATGATTATGCTTAGCAGGCAACATTCTTATTTTTGGCGCGTAGAATAAAGAACAAAAATCATGGCTACAATGTCACACTGTAGAATACCGTGTTGCCCACATAACAGCTGCTTGATCATGCCATAAGATTATCAATCTCTTAAACAATTAATAACGATTTCAATTGATATTTTGATGACAAACGATCTTCTGAAAAGTTTTAGCTAAGAGAATTTCCCATGAGAATTGCTGTAGAAATTTTTAATAGTGCAAAAGACTAGAAGACAATGATCAAAAAATATGGTTTTCTCATAGTAATTAGTGTGTGGCCAACCCATCTCCACTTATGTTGTCGAATTTGGGTTGATATCAGCTTCTGATTACATGGAGCTCAGCATTCGAGTTGTGAAGCCACCTGGCACGAATTATATACCGCAGGCATCGGTTCGTGAAGACCTGACGCTTTTAAAGGTTCTCCGCTGATACACACCACATCACTGGCGTAAAACAACACAGATTTCACGTTTGAATTAATAATTTGGTTTTTGGTGGGTTAACTTGTTAAGTTAGATCTCCGTACATTTCGTATATGTACTCCCATAAGCAGCACTGGTCTTCTTGATTCGTGCACCTTGGTCCCGCCGTCTGAAGCTATCTGGCTGCAAAGATAAGAAACAATCAACTTTCTCCACTGCTTGCCCCACTACCGTGAAGTTGGAAGTGTTGTCCATGTTGACTTCCAACCAGAGCTGGTAAATATCACGGCCGTCATGTGACAATGAGAAAACAGATCCTCTCACTATCACGAGACGGAACTACCTATCATTAGCTTTCTTGTCATTTTCCAATGCTCAAGCACTCATGAGAATAATTCTTATGCGGTTTGTACATCTACATTTCTTATTGATTTAGATTAATTCAAGCAAGTAACCGTATGTAATCGGTAGAGTGATTATATTATTACGATTTTCTCGGTACAAGTAACTTTAAAACAGTGACAGAAATATCTCTGTAAATATCGCGTGAGATCTTTCATTGAAAATGACATTTAGCAGCTCTGCTCCAACGATTTGGTCTTTATGACGTTGATGGTGAGACCCGCTTCAGAGGAGCTTTTGGTTAGATCGTTGAGCTTACTCTGCATATCAGAAAGCCGTAATAATAAAAGAAGATCAAAAGTTAGCCCTCGTGTCGAAAGCAAGAACTATCGACATGATAATGGTTTCAAAATTCCTTCACGGTGAGGTATGGAAGAGAATTTTAAAAATGCTTGTATTTTATTAACTAAGCATTTTAATTAAACTTGGTTGTCACTACCGGAAAAAAAAAACTTCAAGGGCTATCCGGTATAAACCCCCACCCCCTAAAAGCGTGAAGTATCCTGATGAATGTGGGCGTCTTAGAATACCTGTATAATGAGAGAGAGAAGGATTAGTAATTTCCATTTAATTCCACTACCTTATTTGCTTATCCTTGACAGATACGCGTATTTCGTCTACAATGTGCAGACTTCTTCAGAGTCTTGTACTAAGTCGAGTATTAGTACAAGACACTGAAAAAGTCTGCACATTGTAGACGAAATACGCGTATCTGTCAAGGATAAGCAAATAAGGTAGTGGAATTAAATGGAAATTACTAATCCTGAAGTAATTTATTATCGTTCCCATACTCGATAAACTATCTCCTCTCAAATATCATGTCAGGTGATATATTTTTATTATTTGAACCATATTAAAACTTTTTTCACAATGTTCGAGACTCTTTGCCTCACTCCCTAATTAAAATAACCATAAGGGACCATCCATAAATGACCTTTCATTGACCAATTTTAGACCCCCTCCCCCTCTTGTAGCGTATTTTTCTATACCTAATGCATGGCCAGTCACAACTTCTGAATATTCCCCCCCCCCACCCCTCAAATGCTACGTCATGTATGCATGTTTTCTTAAAGACCTTAACGGCGTTTTCGCGGTATCATCCAAACCAGTTGTAGGTTAGTGTAAATTTACCTTTACATTTCTGGTTGTAACGAAATAAGATTGCAGCCAATCCACCTGATTTTATTTTTAAGCCAGCTAGAAACCTGTACCATTCGAATGGAGGCAAGGGCATGTTAAAAAACTACGACTACTTTCCCCTGTGTGAACCATCACTGCACTATTCCACTAGGTGGGTAAGAAGGATAAAACAAAAGTGCATGCTTAAAGCATATGTTCACACCTTCACCACGTTTGTATAAACGAAGGTAAGCATCATTCGAGTAAGGATTTTGTTTTCATTGTGTGGTCCAGAAGTCCAGATTAGTGGCTAAAAAGAATTTGTACTTTTCTTTCTGATATCATGTAGCGCAAACAGCAGAACAGCATACAAGGAGAAGTGAATCAATTAACACAGCAGCAATATATTTCAATTTATAGTCGTTTATATTTTTTCTCATATCATTTCGCAATTAATCTTCAATGTTGCTGTTGCTTTAGATAATTGTCATAAAGCTGCAATAATTCCGCACTAGTACGAGGCTTCACAACAAGAAAGGCATGATCAAAGTATTTCTGCGATATTTCCGTAGAATCGAATGAGTCCTCCAATGCTTTCAACACCGCTTCCTGGCAGATGGCTTCGATTTCCGAACCAGAATATCCCTCAGAGCGTGCAACCAAATTGTCAATATCCACATCCGTTGCTACCGGAATTTTTGAAAGCTTAATTTTGAATATTTCTTTCCGCGTTTCGTGATCCGGCAGTCTGACGTAAATGATTCGATCAAGCCTTCCAGGTCGCATAAGAGCTTTATCGATTAGATCTGGTCTGTTTGTAGCAGCAATGATTTTAACGTTCTTTAAAACGCTCACTCCGTCAATTTCAGTCAATATTTGAGCTAATACTCGCTCTTTCACTGAGCTCCCAGACTCTGCCGATCTTTCACCGCCGATTGCATCTATTTCATCAAAGAATATTATGGACGGTGCCACCTGTCGTGCTTTGCGAAACAGTTCGCGCACGGCTCGTTCAGATTCACCAACCCACATGGAAAAAAGCTCGGAACCCTTAATGGACAGAAAATTCAATTTGCTTTCGGTAGCAATAGCCTTTGCTATCATTGTTTTCGAACAACCCGGTGGGCCAAACATCAGCAACCCTCGTGGTGCAGTAATGCCTAGACGAGCAAAGATCTCTGGACGGTGAATTGGCCAATCGATGATCTGGCGCAATTGAAGTTTTAAATCATGTTGTCCACCTATGTCGCTCCAGTGCACGTTAGGACATTCAATCATTATTTCTCGCATTGCACTGGCTTTCACATACTGTAAAGCTGTTTCCATGTTAGTATAGCTGATCAGTGAATCTGTTTCTTGCGTTGCTCGACCAACTAAGCTAACCAAATCTGCGCCAATGTACCCATGAGTTACGAGAGAGAGTTTCTTTATGTCCTCAACCTGTAGACAGTGTTTGTAGGACAATAGAATCTTCGATAATATTTCTTCACGAGCCTGTGCATCGGGAACAGGAAGTTCAAACTCGTAATCCATCCGGCCTCCTCTTCTCATGTATGGATTAATATTATCAGGATTGTCGGTGGTTCCTAGCACGAGAATTCTGCCAGCTTTTGGGGAACTATGCAAGCTGTCCATCAGATTGACAAGAAAGTTAGAAATCCGTTTGATTATATCAGAAGAATCTCCCTTTGGGCATATATTATGAATCTCTTCGATAATAACAATGGTTGGACTGGGATAGTTGATGAACGCTTTGTCAAATATCTTTTTAATGTTACCTTCAGTTTCTCCGTAAAACTTACTGAATATTTCCGAGCAATCGACTTTAATTGCAAGACACTGAAAATATTCTGCAAGTGAGTTGACGAGCAGAGTTTTTCCAGATCCAGAAACGCCATACAACAGAATTCCTCGACTGATGGGTGCATGAGCTGCTTTAGTTTGACCTAACGCTATTTCAGCTATTTCCTTAATTTCTCGGATGGTTGCTCCCAAACCACCAATGTTATCGAGGTTGAACACCGATTTTGTTAAAACATGTGGTCCACCAGTATCGTTACTGCATATGGAAATCTTAGTATCACGATCGATTTTGAAATACCTGCATTCCAGGGATAAGTTTTTGAATTCACAGTCCAGATCGCGATTCTCATTCCTCAGCAGGATCTTAACAATTTTGAAGGAGAATCCTTTGTTACAAAGTCTGAGAAACAATAAATTTTGGTTCGATAAAATACGTCCTTGGTGCTGTCTACGGATTAACTGCATGAAGGTCTGCCCATTCTTATGGATTTCATCGGTTGTAGTTAGCTTTTCTCCACTCAGTGCTACAGTCAATTCATCAACGTTTGCAACCTTTAGTTTAAATGGCTTTATACAAACACATACATTGGTTTGTGCCGAAATTGGCACTTCATCTGAAAATAGCGATTCAGTTATCATATTGAAATCAATTGATTATTTGTATGAATTTACCAATGTGAGCACTTAGAACACGTGAGCCATGCTTCTCGTCAATCGGCCAAGCACACCTAACAAATTTAAGAGCATGCGAGGTGTTAAGACATCTTAGATTAACTTCGACTAAATCTCCTAGGACGAGTTCCAGTTTATTCATCACAGCGCTGCTCAATAAGACCAATCCATTCAACTGGACATCGCTCATTTCCTTGAGCTCTTCAGCTGTACCTGTTAGCTGGCTACATTCAAAGCGGGTGCTATGAAACTCATTCGTCTCTGTTATGTATCCTGTTAGAACATCCAAATTCTTACAGTCCACCTGATGCTTGGCCAGTTCCGCTGTCAGTGTCCACGCCCTACATTGCTCACACTTCCACCAGATGGATTTGTGATCTTTTTTCGCTGATTTGGGAGGCATTATACTCTTTAATTTAACACCACACAACTTTTCAAAAGTGCTTCCACGCACGTGAAATTAAATTTGTTTTGGTTTTCGTTGTTTTGTTTACATTCTAGCATTGCATTCGCAACCAAGCGCGCTCTGAACGTCAGCCAACAAACAACACTGATATTGCATACAATTTTACAGTGCTTCTCTCATTTTAGCACTCCTTAAAGTTTTTGGAAGCAACCGCCCTCAAAGCCTGGCCAAGTAAATCTGGATGCAGGTTTTAATGTACCACCGCATCCCTAGTTAGGGCCAGACAGCATTTTTCTTCTTCTTTATTTACAAAGCATTCAGCCATAGGCCCTAGTTAAAACCTGGGACGTTAAAACATGTTATAGATATATATTGATGACATTTCCCTAATAAAAAAAAATACAGTATCCGAACGATAACTGAAATGATAGAACTATTCCACAAATGGTTTGCATAATACCCTGAAGCAAAATAACCATACAAATTTTACATATTTATATTAATTCAAGACCAAAAATTGAAATGGCCTCAACTCCATTTTGTAAACAAACCTTTCTCGCCTCTTCATCTCCGAGACATATTCTGATTGAATGGCAAAATTAACAGACTGTTTCGATGTTCCATCAACAAGAAGGATATGCACCCACGCATTTTAAGAATTCAGATTATATTTCAAGTAGGGGAAATGTATGTAATGTCGGCCGAAGTGTCCCTAATTTGGGCCCATACATTAATTCAGCAATCAACTAAATTTTCAATAGCAACCAAAAATATCCATTAGTACCGTTCCAATGACGCGTTCATCTAGATAAAATGGATCAATAGCATATTTTTAGCGATGGGCCCAATGTTAGATCCATAGGCCAACATTAGAGCCATTTCCCCTATTATTTACCTTATAGAACAATTTATGCAAAAATGATGAATGTCTATAATAAATACTGTGAATGATGAAATGTAACACTACATTGATTGACGAAATAAATAAATATTATAAAAGGTTCGATTGCGGATCGCAGTAATTTTAAGTTAGAAACTAGGTAGAAGTAAAAGTAAGTGGAACACAAAACGGCGTCAGTGCGATTTGAATTACACAAAATAAGTGAAACACATGGGTACGCTATTACCAAGCCGGAGGCGGGCGGGTTTTATTCTCGGTGGGTGCAAGTGCAAAGTTGAGACCCGGCAAAACGCTCACTACAGAAGCGTGAAAGCCTAGAAGATGTGGAACACAAAACGTCGTCAGTGGGATTTGAATTGCACAATTGGAAGTAGAATGCATTGCTGTTTAATTTACTTGCGGTGTGATATATCAATAATGTGTATACCTATGTATTACGAAATAAGAATTACATTTTATTTTAAACGAAAATGAAAGCATTGAATTTCATTCGTAGAATTACTTAAATACTACTTAATCCAGTGAAGATGAAGCTTATCAAAATGGTTTCTTTAATATGATAGTCAAATCTATCCATTCATAGTCATTCAAGTATTATGGACGTGAAGAAGATTTTGAAAGATCGTTAGATAAACGACAGATTGGTTCAAAATTGTTTGTCTGTATTTTAATGAGCTTCAAATGAATTGAAAAAAATTGTGTACATAATAGGTATTTGTTGATCGCTTTTAAGACTTGTGAGGTCTTTGATGAACTTTCATGTGTGCAGTCAACGATGTCAATTGGCCAAATGATGAATCACATTTGTCGCATTTGTATGGTCGCGATTTCAAATGAACGGTCACCAAATGTAGCCTCAACGTCTTCCTGGTTGCAAACGATTTTCCACAATCTTTACAATCATTTTTCAAGTGCGTTTGTCGATGTCGTTGGTACGTATCGCTAGTTTGAAATACTTCTCCACATTCTGGACAAACCCGTTCCTTTATTGGCATTTTGCTTAATTTGTCATGTTTATCAATATGACGATCTTTCTCACTTTGCGTAAGGAAGAATACATTTTTATTCGCTTCCTGGCACAATTCGCAAGAAAGCATTGGAACATTTTCCTCAGGATGCTTCTCTACAAGATGCCGACAAAGGAATTTTTCCCATGAGTAAACTGCAGGACAGAAATTGCATTTTAATTCCCGCTCACATACAGTTATTTCAGTTCCCATGTCCGTCAACTGCGGCCGACCTATTTGATTTATTCCTGCTTTTTGGTGAGCGCGCATGTGAGTTTGGAGGGTGTATTTTGTTTTGAATCGCTTTTCGTCTCCACATATTTCACAACTAAACGGTCGTTCATCACTATGCTTCGCGATCTTATGAGAATGAAGGGCATTTGATTGATTGAAAGATGCGTCACATTCGTTGCATTTGAATGGTTTCTCAGCAGTATGAATGCGTTCATGTCTGTATAGCCCTGATCTTGAAGTTGCTGAAAAGGGGCACTGTTTGCATTTGTACAAAATTGCCTTCGTATGTATGTTCTCATGCAATCTCAAATGAGTTCCTCTGGAAAATGATTTGCCGCAATAGGTGCATATGAAGTTCTTTTCTAGGATTTCGACAATCCTTTCGTGTACCGTCTTTATGTGAGCTTGTAGCTTGTAGTTGGACGAAAATTCTCGTACGATATTGTTCTTTTTGCACTCTTCGCAAGGAATTCGTTTGCCTTTCCTGAAGTGGACCCTTCTCAAATGCATATTCAAATAACGTACCGTTGATACGGGTAACTGACATAAATTACATACTTGTCCCGTAGATCCAACATGTGTAGAAATATGATTATCCAGTGCCTCTGCAGTACCAAACTCTGTTGCACAAATATAGCACTTGGAATCTACTTTGTTGCCCACCTTCTTGGGAGTTGTTTTTTTACGTTGTTTGATTGGAGCTTTATATGAGTGTTCACTTTCACTTTGGGATTCAGAAGAATTCCTTTCCATCGAAGCTCTATCGTAATCAAAATTTGGTTCTACTTCAATAAACTCATACTTGTTGATAAAGTTATAATTGGAAATAGTATCGTCATCTTCAAGACTTGCGGAAACACTAGGTTCTGGATCAAGTTGCTGATTGTCCATCTGATGCAGCTCAGTGTCTTCATTCGCATGGCTTCGGCTTTGTTTTGGCACCTCCTCAACTAAATCATCTTCTTGTTTGACAATCAAGGATCTATAAACAGAAGGCAGGTTTATAACGTAAATTTCCAAGTTGAATATAGGAAGACTTACGCATAATATTGTTTAATCTCAAAATCCACTCTTCTAACCCGCTTACGGATCTTATCGACGGCGCGGATCTGATCGTTGCATCTATTGCAAACTTTCGATATGATTTCGCCATCCGAAACCTTTAGGAATACAATAAGTTTATTAAGTTAATGAGTTAACTCATCAAAAACAATGTATAATTGACAGAGTACATTAGTTTCTAAATTAGAATTACAAATTCTTACCAGTATCTGGAAACATTCAAAAATCATACGCTGTAGGTTACGATCATCAGCTATCGTGAAATGACCATCTTCATCCAATAGAACATCGGCGAGGTTTTTTAAGCAGAGTCTGCAGCACTCCACTAAACTCATGATATTAAAATTTTAGGAAACTTTATTAATTTGATAGCGATTTAACATGTTCTAAGAACTCGAATTCAAAGCGTTGAATTTCTCACCCAAAGTCTTGCCAAAAGTATTAAAAACAACAATATTCTGTCAAATTCCGAGCTAACTTGGCGTACAATAATAATGCACGCTATTTCAAAACTCCCCAAATTTGGGTATAATCCACCCAGATCCGTCAAAACTGAACCTACCCAAAAATGGGAACTGTGTAGGGAGTGACAAGTTGACAATAAATGAACAACATTGACATTAAATGAACAACATTGACATCAATCCGATCGACGTTGTCAATTTGTCAACTTGTCACTCCCAACACAGTTCACATTTTTGGGTAGGTTCAGTTTTGACGGATCTGGGTGGATTCTACCCAAATTTGGGTAGTTATGAATCTCCACCAGCGTCACCAGCATGTTCTAAGGCATAACATCTCTGATCACACCTTCCGTCGGGAAGTAAAGCCGTTGGTCCCCGGTTGAGTTGATGCGTCGATTGGTAGGGAGCTGCCTTCCTGGCACGTCGGTAGCATTGGTGCTCAGTACGGAAAACAAATCTCGCGTCACTTTTCAATAGGTCGATCGATTCTTTTCATCGACACTCTCTTTCGAAAATAACTCGGCTTCACAAATGTTTCCTAGATTGTTGCTTCTTCCATCGAAAATATCCGGCCGTAGCGATTTAAAGTTGATCAAGGTTGATCAAAATAATGTGTACCCCTGCTTCCAGTTTGATTACATGAACATTTTGTGTGATCGTTGGTTCTGAATATGGGCAAACAGGCAGATGAATTCTATTCCTACTCTTTACTGTAATAAGCTTGGTGGCCCTGAAAACAGCCGTTTTGTTTATAAAGTTGGTGATGATTTAACCTCCGAAACCAAACAGAGTGCGTCTCTGTCACTTCAAAACGTAGATGACATCCATGGCCACTTACGCTTGGCGTGTTTAGTGTAGGTGACAGCATCACGGATCTCATTTTTCAGGAACACCTTCAGCACACCCTAATAAACTGGTACCATACACTAACGATATCATAGATGATTCGACCATACCACATAAAGTTGGGATGATATCCCGTATTGGTGGTTAGGCGCTTATTATGGTTATTGTTTATGCGGGCACCTCGTAAATCAGACCGGAGATACGTCAGACACCGCCACGGCGAGCCAGACGACAAAATATTACGGAATTCCATCCTCCCTATTCGCACGCGCCCGAGGATCGGAGGCGAATGCCACTTCGACTTGTTTCGTCTACTTACTACTCTCTGACAACTGTGCTGTGGAAGCAGCATATGCATGTAGGTAATTGGTGGATTTGTTAGTTAATTCGACGCTTTTGGACAATGCTGGACATTTACCAGTTAGTTCCTTGATGAAAATCAACATTCAGAATCATTGTTATCGTTGCGTAGCCATATTTCTTATCGATTGGTGATAAAATTATTGAAATTGGACCAGGGGCAGCTGAGTTATTAACGTTCAAAATCTTTCTTAATTTGTTACATGTGTACCCCCATATAGAAATCAAAGACGTAGTCCTACGTCAAAAGTGAATAATTGTCTGAAATATTACACCCTCCCTTTTGAGGTTGACGTTATATTTGAACGAACCCTCACTGTTTTCATTAATTTATCAACAGAGCACGTTCACAACTTTTTAACAAAATGAATTCAACTCAACTGCTGGAGCAACAATAGAAAAGGGCCCATCAGCATTTGTTAACAAAAGTTTTGTAAACCTTTTCCCCACAAAGCGTAGGCAGCCCACGCAAAATGAGTAAACTTAGTGGGGGTTCCCTAATAATAATGTTATGGTTAATTTGCTTAACGACGTGTTCGGGGTATCATCCAAACCATTTGGGGAATAGTTCAATCATTTGGGTTATCGTTCGATTATGGTAATTTTTTATTAGAGTTGACAAGTTGACAAATGATCAACATCGATCGGATTCCAGTCTAACTTAGTTTACTGATTTTTGAGTAGGTTCACTTATGACCGATATGAGTAGATCCTTCTTAAATTTGGGGAGTTTTGAAATAGCGTGTACTGTACAAACAAAACAACAGTGTGAATTAAAAGCTAATCAATAAAAAAATTCGTGTTTAATACTCATATTGAAATTGTCTTGATCTAAATAGATTTATCCATTTCCATCATGAGTTCCTCTTCGGCGGCCACTACTCCAACAAAGCAAGTGAAAACCGACAGTTGGATGGACGATGTTTTGCGTACGAATACAGGTTCTAATAAGTATGAAAATTTCATTATTCACAACTCCTATGCAATGATCTGAATCTTACTGCAATGTTTTTCAGGAGTGGTAAAAATTACTCCAACCTGTTGGAAATGTAAGTATTCTATTCTAGAAGTAAAATCTTTTCCAACCAATATTGAAAAAAAAAATAAACAACTAAAACGCAGGGAAAGATTCGGCAATACGAATTTCTCGATGGAGGAGTCCAATACCGTTGAGTACAACCCAGACGACATTCCAATGCTACCAGATGCAGATGAGCTTCAAGAAAGCCTTCTTTACAATGAGTCCCCTAATTTACCATCGTATGTTTGTTTTGTCTATCAGAATTTGAATTCTCTATCCAAACGTGTTTATGCGTTTTATTTTTCAGAGTTACAACGTATAAACAGCTTGGTTCCGATATATTTCCACACGGCAAGTCCCCATTGGGAAATTTGGATGAGATCGACATATCGATTCTTACGGAGTGCCTGGAAAATGAAGAGGATATTGAAGAACCTGACGAACCATGGATATGGGATCAGCTTTTCGCTCAGCTTTCGGTGAAAATAAGCACCGAGGCAAAAGCAACACCAGTAGAGTATAAGAACTAAATGCATTTATTTTAGACCCAAGGGCGTTTCGCATTTGATTTAATTATTAATATTACTGCTATCGATGATGTACAGCGTTTCCTCTTCCAGTTTCTGTAAACTCTCCGGTAGGAGCATATTTTCTTCGGCGTACGGTAGTATGTCGCAAATTTGCGACGATTCCACATTCAAAATATACTCACAAGGCCGAGGCTCGAGTAGGTATAGGGAAATGGAATTTGAACTGGCTGAATGTTCGGTGCATTTGAGCTTCACTTCGACCTGCCTTGGCTGTTGGGTTTTATCGCAAACGTCGCCCCCGCTGTAGAAATTGCTCAGTTGATTTTCATTCTTACGTTTGTTCCGAATGGACGGATTCTTCTCTAGCCATTCCACATGTTTTTCCTTATTGAAGTAGCCAAGAAATATTGAAGTTTCGTCATGGAATTGACGAACGTGTTTTCCGTAGCACAATTCAAACTTCCACCAGCCTGAACCCTGAAATGTACGAATCAATAGTTGTCAATCAGTGTTTATAGCCTCTTAAATCAGTTAGTCCTCACCCCGGTCAAACAATAGGCACCATCCAAAAATTCCAGCAACGGCTTCAGTTCCTTCGACTTTCTTGCTTTCTTCGCGAATGAATCCATCGGACTGGTGTTGTCTTCCTCGCCAATTTCATTTTCTAACAGTCCTTTTCGACTGATGCTATCAACAATTGGTACGTCATTCGAAAACAGTTCAACCTTAATTGGTCCATCCTGCAAGAAAAGCAACACTGACATGAACCTATGCTGTTTCACTGTTCAAAAACAAAGCCACAACCATTTAAGAACCAAAATACCAAATAAAAATAAATATAACAAACCTCGTCGAAATTAATGACTGCAATAGCGTCTTTAATGTTTTTATGCACGTCCTAAAGTGAGGGAAAAGGAAGTAAACTAAATATAAAACCAAGAAACAAAAGAACTACTACTAAACCAAGAGAACCAAAATGCCAAGCAAGTATGTACAAACCAAACCAACCGAAGGTAGACAAAACTGAAACAAATGCTCATACCGTAAGTTTTTGGTATTTAATCTTCATACTCTCGATTTCCATCATCAGCAAGTTTTTCGGCTTCTTGGGAGAATTGCCCAATGGGTAACAGTTGACTTTGTTCTCTTCGTTATCCTGAGGCTTGTACTTCGGATGGGCACACAACATTGGCGTTAAAATGATAACTTCGTAATTGCATGTGGACGTCTCCTTCAGAGAATAGACTTCGTTCTTTCCATGCAGATAGCACACGTAAAGTACTTTCGTAACTCGTGGCTCTCCGTTGAGGTCGCAAACGGTACCGGAGTCCATGTCCAGTTCCAAATAAGGCAAATTCAATCCGTCGATTTTCTTGTACTTTAGTTTTTCTTCTTCTGACCCAGATTTGTCGTACAGAGCTTCCAGATTGGCCGTTTTCTGCTTGTCCCATCTACCCAGATAGTATTCTTGTAATTTGCTTGTCTTTTCGTGCCGCTCCTCATGGTACTGCTTGATGTAATTGCCATGACAAACCTCGTAGGTCCAATAGCTCTCGATTCTGTACGAACAGGAGTGGGTGAATAGCGGAATGAGTAGATCGATCGGACTCGGACCACTGTATTGGACTTCTCCGTCAGTTTCTTTAGTTGCAATGGAGGGAATGATGCATTTGTATTTTTCCTTGTTTGTGGTCGCCACGATAATCTCTTCGTCTCCGATAGCGTTGGTCTAGGAGAGATTGGTTGATAATACAGATATAATTTTGACCTTAGAAAGTAAACAACTTACCAGCAATTCATCCTTGCCGTGCCAGGCGAGCGTGTGCAGCACAGTATCGTCGAAGCCTTTCAGATCGTGAGCACTAACATAACCCGCCAGCAGGAGAACTGCCAAGGAGCAAAAAACCTTGAATTTCATATCAAGTTCTGATGAGTCAAGATTACTATTTTTTCATGGAACTAAAATCTTCTGCAAATCCGTGGTTTCGAGTGATTGATTCTCTCAGCCAGCAGTTTTCTGATACGTGTTGTTATCAATCAGTTGAAGCTGTCAAGCAGTGCTCACAGTGACAGCTTTGACAGATTATAGAAGGGATCCGTTCTCGAATGAATGTTGCATACAAGGTAGCACTTTTTGATTATTATATACCTAGAGTCGACTCTATATATACCTATATATGCCCCGAAATGTCAGTTCAAATGTTTACATCCAATTCGGATCCGAATTCCACCGCATTATATAGAGCAAAATTGTCGTCTCACCTCATACGCCACGCAGAATAACCCTGGAATGTGCAGTTAGTAGATAAAGTCGACAGATTAATTCTAAATGTTGAATAAACCTTGTACGCCATGAAATGCATGTAGCTAACATGGTGCCTGTCATGAACTAACTGTTAAAATATAATTGAAACCTTTTGGAAGTGCAATGATCGTACATAAATCGATGTATTTACGCTTTTTAGCCATTATTGCATTAGCAGCGATTGGAATCATATTGATGATCTCAAGTCTTCCCATATCTGGTAAGTTAGCTAGCATCCCTCGGCAATTTCACTGGATTGTCATTGTCGCTTATATTTTCATTTGCAGATACGTGCAAATGTGAGAATCCAGTGGATCGGGATGTACAGCATGAAAAATTTCATAGCAGTTTCAAGGAGCTGCATCCTTCGGACAAGCAAAAGTTAGCAATTTTAGTACCATTCCGAGATAGATTCGACGAGCTCCTACGGTTTGCGCCTCACATGTCTGCTTTCTTAAACCGGCAACTGGTTCCGTTTCACATTTTTGTACTAAACCAGAACGACCGATATCGTTTCAATCGAGCATCGTTAATAAACGCCGGGTTTTTACTGGTGAAAGATCATTATGAATATATTGCTATGCATGACGTTGATTTACTGCCGTTAAATAATAATCTTAAATATGAGTACCCTGCGGAAGGACCGCTGCATATCTCCGGTCCGGAATTTCACCCGAAATACCACTATGCAACGTTTATCGGAGGGATTTTGTTGCTAAAACTAGAACACTATCAAATGCTCAATGGAATGTCCAACAGATATTGGGGTTGGGGTCTTGAAGATGACGAATTTTACGTACGAATCAAGGAAGCTGGCTTGGAGGTGTTCCGACCGCGAAACATTACTACCGGATCTGAGAACACCTTTTTGTACGTAACAATGGTGTTTTGTTATTTTTCTATAGCATAGCACTAATCTAAAATGGCCTTTACAGACATGTCCACGACCGTTTGCATCGTCGGCGAGACACGGCAAAATGTTTCAATCAACGAGAAGTGACACGCCGGAGGGATCGTGACACAGGACTAAATACGCTTCGATATAGTCTGGACAGCCGTAGAGAGTTAACTATTGACGGCGTCGCAGTAACGGTATTCAATATTAATCTAGAGTGTGATAAATCACAAACTCCTTGGTGTGAGTGTGACAGTAAAGTAGAAGCAAAATCTCGTTTAGATAGTAAAACAAAAACTTGAATTTCTTGCCATAATGTACATATAGAGAATGAAATGTTGAATAACTAATGTTCTTAGTTGGACTTTTTTTTAGATATTCTTTCGCAATAAAGAGGCATTTTTAATTGTCGCATTTGTCTATTTTTTACCAATTTATGTATGTTCTACAAGATTATACAATTAATTATTTGAGCAGAGTCCAAACAAAAATTGCGCAGCCACACTGCACAATAGTTTGCTTCATACCGAAAAGCGGGGCGATTTCACGTAGGTTCCTAAATTCGTTCGCAAATTCAGTATTTTTTGAGGAAAAATAGCATTTTCCAGTACCTAAATGTATCACAATGAACGAAATTAAGTGCCCACGCAAAATTGAGACTCTTTGCTAAACGGCTTCGTAAAATAACAAATAAATAACAGTCAACATTAATTTAGCTACTCTCCTACATAGAAGACAGAAAGAAAAAATAAATTACAAACATCATGTTTTAGAAGCAAAGGTTTATAGGTTCCCCGTTTCATGCAAGATTAAAAGATACAATGTTGCTACAGTTGTATTTTTACTTGAGTTAAAAATTGCAAACCAATCAGTTCTACACCAATCTTCTCTTCGGTATATTGTTAGCCACACCGGTATTCAATGTAACGAGATGAGTGTTAACGGTTTATCACCGTTCCTATTTTTACCATTATTTTAATATCGTTGCTGATTCGTAGGCAGTACACTCGACTACATATTTAATTCCATTAGACTTGCACCGCAGAAAGTTTCAGCTTCTTGGGGACGACCTATTAGTAAAAAAAAAACGTATGTGGCTGTTAGGGGTAGTTCAATTCGCAATAATAATTTATAGTAAGAATATAATGAACTGATGACTATGTATAAGGGACATGCAAAAGCATTAGAAAACAGATAACTTCAGTCAGGTCCTGAAAATCTAATTATCATGCAACGAAATTCAGCGTAACGTGGATGCAAAGAGCGTGCCTTATTTTCAATATCAGATTTAATCGACTAATAATAATATTAATAATAAAATAAGTGAATAATATATTAGAGAAAAATCTTATTTATTATACAAGAAAATGGTTTACAAAATGACGATAATAATTGATCCGTTCATTTTTATGTGCTGTATGTATGATCGGTACATGGTTTTATCGTTCATGCAAGAATCGAACAAATTGAGGCTGAAATCACGTGTAGTAGTTACCAAATAGTTTGTACGCTAGAATTGAACATGAGTGATCCTTGACGAGCAAAGTTCGAAATGCGTTTAAACCACATATTCGCGATCGCTGATAACTCGAATGCCATGCTCCGTAAAGACAAATTTTATCATATCGTCGTAGCTTTTCGCGGGACTAATGCGTCCAGCGGATGTACCACGATTCCTGTCTTTGCTTGATTCTACGTGAATATTCGTTTCATTTGAAGCAGCAGTGGTGATTGATGCGTTACTTTGAATACGAGGAATTTCCAGTTCGGTAACACAAAGCTTCAAATCCTTAGGTTTTTTAGAATCTTCTAGCGTGCTTTTGCCTGTGCTGTTGTGTAAATTGAGATCGCTTTGTGCATCTTGTGCCGTAGTGTTACCTTTAGTGCAAGTTTCGTATTTCTTTGTGCTTGTTGGTATTGTACTTTTGTTGTCACATACCTTGCCATCTGCTGTGTGATGAGCGATGGAACCTACTCCCGAATCAGACACAACTGATGATGCATTAGAAGTAGCTGCTGATGTTGTCGTTGTTGTTATTATCTGAACAGCACTTCCAGGGTGGGTCAGAAATCCTCTCGCATTTCTGGTTGCTGTTTTTGCATTGTTTTCCGTTCCACAACAGAAAACACGATTCAAAGTATTTTGCGGAAAATCAGTGTCATCCATCGATTCCAATGTGCTAAACGTGTTTAACTCGTTTCGACTCTCAACATAATCGTCATTATCGTTGATGGGAGAGACAGGCGATATGCTCATCATTTCCCCGCTCGTACTAACAGGCAAAATGTACTTACTGATGGAAATCCACAAACGCACAGACATGTGAAAATGAATGAATTCAATGTGTTAGTACAGCAGCTGATCTGTTGATTAATTGTTCACTGCACAAATTAATGAAACCATTATGAATGCATCCTAAAGTGATAATAACAGTTTGAATAATTCGATAAAACTTACGTATCATTGGTGCCATACAAGCCATTCTTTTTTATGTATTCAATCAAATAATCATCCAGTAAATATTTGACTGACAATCCTCGATTGAGCAAACGGCGCACTAGTGTTGAACTGACGTCGTTTGTAATCCAGTTCGTGACGATTGTAATGTTTCTCTGCAATAGATACATTTTTTGTAAATACATAATTGAACCAAGGCTGCAAAGGCAACACTATTGCGCTAACCCTGTATCTGCTCAGTAAATCAGAATTAAAAATAAACTGCTCCGCATTTGCTCCGGCACGAGATACAACCACTATTCCATGTTGACCAACGATCGCTTCTATGTCTTCGTCTTTCCACAGACCAGGCGTAGCAAAGGATTCAAGCAAATCCGCCCCACAAAGTAGCTTCATCTGGACATGTCCAGCAGTCTTTTTTAACCCTTCTGGGATCCATGATGGAATATGTTGATCATTTCTATTATTCGAGTCTTTCAGATATGAATTTACAAAGTTCTGAAATAGAACGTATATAATTAGTAACAGAAACACTTACTGCAACGCCACGTGAAACCTGATGATACTGCAAGGTAAGTCGTGTCCTAGTCCATTCTTCTTGTTGTGTTTCCCATTCCGACAGCCGGATCCAATCTGACGATTGCAGTCCAATCTTGATCATAGTGCAACGGTGCGTTGCAGTAACTAGTCCATTTTTACCGTAAGAATCATGTACCGGGGAAATGACTCCGCCAACTACATGAGCTGTTCCCATCTGCTCAAAATGATCCCGAGCGATTTCTACGTTTCAAAAATACAATTAGTATCGTTATAGGTATGTATATTGACGATTAATTGCACAACTCACCAAACATCCGAAAATGCATCGGCGTTGGAGGGCTGAACGAACCACATGCTATAAGCATAATTTTCGTTGGAGATGTCATCCTCATTTGTGCAAGCTACTTTTTATTCACTGCTATGTACAATAATACGAGCTTTTTTCTGCTCAAAATATGGGCTATACTTGTAATTTTGGTAAAAAATATTTAGCTCAACCTAAACACTTCACTATTAGTCATGTCCTTCAAATTTTTCGCGACATCGATAAATGTTTTGACAGTCAGTTCTGAGCCGCTGTTTACGTTTCATAACTAGGGTTGGGCGGCTGTTTTTATGCATGGAAACTTATCGAGTCGGCGGCGGCTAATTTCACGTTAGGGACGAATCAAATATGACGTTCACTCAAAAATATAGCTAAACATTGATAGATTAAAATTTATTCATTTTATGGTTATGCTATATTAAAATTTCCTTTAAAATTATAAATTATAAAATTATACGTTGCCGCTCCCGATTTTTCCGAGGAGCACCAGAATATTTTTTTTTAATCTTTATTCAAGGCTAGTTCATCTTTTCCAGAATAAATTGTACCAGTCGAAGCAGGAAGAGTGACCACGGGGTGACCGCAGTGATGCCACATATACAGATTTATCTGTAATCATACAGATTTTTTTTCGATATTTTGATATTGATATCTATATATACAGATTACAGATTTTTGAAAAAAATACAGATTTTTCACATAAAGGGAATGTATTTTACATTATTTTTAATATTTATAAATAACGATAAATAATCATTTTTTTTTTCCTTTTAAGCAACTTGAATTCAATCTGAGCATCAAACCCAAATCGTATTTTTCATTAAATAAATATTATTATTTTAGCTTCCAATGGATTTGGAATCTTTCGAATCGACTTCTGACGTTCAGATGTTCTGATTTCTCGTTGGAAGGGATATTAGCAAACAGTGGAAACTAACGATTTTAAATTGGCTTACTACTTGACTAGCCTATTGGTCCCAAGCAAATCGATTAACGTACCCCATTCTAGTCGAAATTCTAGTACTACAATATGTTTGTTTTGATTCGCTTTGAAAGTTTGACAGATAAAATGAGAAGTTTGTGGATTTTCCTATGTTTCGAGGGGTACATCGATTAGCTTGGTACCGAAGAGAGTACCAGAGCTGAGCCAATAAGTTGAGCACGTTTCTTCGGGACCTTCTGGTCTTAGAGTTACCTCTATGATATTAGTTTGACTTTCTATTTGTTCAATTAAGGGGGTATTCCCGATCTTTTTTTTCAAAAAATCAAATTTTTTTTTCACGTTTTTTTTGTACTTTAGACTATATACTTTCATCCCCCCAAGCCGTTTTCCGATCAGCGAATTCGGTGTCCAGGCATAGCTGACTAATGGTAAGAACCCCCAAATGGTTTTAACCAAAGTCAAAACTTTAAACGCGTTTTTCTCGAAACCACATTTTTTTTATCGGGCGAAGACTTTTCTCAGAAACTATAAGAGATATTGACTTGAATCCTTGCGCATTTTGTTCCTTATTAAATTCTTTGGAATAAAAAATATTAACATTTAACATTGTTTGAAGCACCTTAAAGTTGCAAAAAAGCGGGCTAAAAATCGCCTGTTTTTTCATATGGCCGCCATTTTGTTAATTTGCAAGATTTTTTGCTGCCAACGGGAGAAGCTCCAGAGAATCTTATGCAGACTATCATTTCATCACGAAATCTGTCTCAGATGAAGCCGTTCCAGAGAAAAGTCTTCGCCCGTCCAGGCGTTTGCGGCGAACAGGGGTCTGTTTGTCGCCATTTTGTGACGTCAATAATGTCTTTTTTTATGTCGAAAAAAAATTATTTGTAAACTTTAATGTTCAATAAACAAGAATCCCAAAGAGTTAGGCGCATTACTATTCATTTTCCTTGAAAAAAAATTAATTGAAAAACAGGCCGAAAAAAGGCAAAAGATTGGGAATACCCCCTTAACCATGTCGCATGGTTACAGATACGAAGGTTAATTCAATATATTTTTTGTCAAATCGATAAACAAGCCATTTGAGAAAACCAACAAAGTGGTTGATTACAGTTTGTGAGTTGAGGAATCAACTGGATATTTTTATATTTGAAAAGTGTAATTACAGAAATAAAAATGATTGCATGCCATTCGGATAAACTTCCAGTAAAAGTTCTGTGTTATGTTTGATGTCTAGGTATAGGTTTTCGTAATCTCAGACATTAAAAAAAATTCTAGTAAATTGTAATAGTTAGATCATTAAGGAAATTTTCAGCCGGAAACAGATTTGTCTCTCATAACTGGTTATTAATGTTTTGTATTTTCAGACTGTAGAAGAGATACTAAACACATGAATTCTTTAGCAAACTTTAGTCATTTTTCATGATTCTAAACTTAGAACAAACTCCTTCTTAAATATAGGGTGGAACTTCGTCCTTCTAGGTAATACGAAATACTCTTTTCTTTTCGTTATTTCTCTGTAAAAATCATTGGTAACGTATTTTTTTTCTACAAAATCAAATATCTCTGAGTGTTTCTTTTTTTTCTTAAAACTTCATTAAAACATCTTACATTTGAAGAGTCAATTGTAAAAATCGGTCAAGAGGTTCAGAAGTTATGAATTTTTCAAAAAAAAAATAAATAGATTTTTCGGATCACTATAACACGGAAATGGACCCTAATGACGGAATAAAAAAATACGAGTCTAATATTTTTTGATAAGGAAGAACTATACCAATTTTGATGAAAAATTCTGATACTCACTATA